ATTATCTCCTTATTTCTTATTTCTTATTTCTTATTTCTTATTTCTTATTTCTTATTTCTTATTTCTCATTTCTTATTTCTTATTTCTTATTTCTTATTTCTTATTTCTTATTTCTTATTTCTCATTTCTTATTTCTTATTTCTCATTTCTTATTATTATATCTCTTTAAATATTTATATAGAACCCTTCTACTCCTCAATACCCATCCCTATATCTATAACCCTATATCCTTATATCTATATCCCTATATCTATCACCCTATATCCTTATATCTATAACCCTATATCTATATCCCTCATCCCTATATCTATCACCCTATATCCCTATATCCCTTAAACCCTTCTATTTTAATTTATTTCTTATATCTCCTCAATACTTATCCCCTTATGGATCCTTCAACATTTAAAGACATAGACATTACAACATATATAAACACACAAATACAACACCCTACACTCTACATAATAAAAACACAACAACACACACACAACGAAATACTAAAATCTTTAAACAATACCTTATACACCACATTTATAACAAATACTTCCAATCTAATACAAATATTATCCAAATATGGAAATATTTTAATATTTTTTTATTCTCTTAAAAAAAAAACCGCCAAATATTTTTCTAAGTATACGTTACTCTGTAATGAGGATTTTTGTATTGAAAAACAGTTACTTAAAATTAGTAAAAAACAAAAAAATATATTTTTACAACATTTATCTTTATTTATAGATGATATGTCAGTATTTATTACAGATTATCGATATTTTATAGAAGAATACAAAGTAGAGATAGTAGAAGAGGGTAATAGTATAATAGATAAGGGTAGTAGTATAAATAGTATAATAGAAGAGGGTAGTAGTATAATAGAAGAGGGAGAAGAGAGTAATAGTATAATAGATAATAAAGAAAGTAATAGAACAACAAGTAACAAATCTAATAAAGAAAATAATAAAGCTAATAATAACAAAGATAATAACAAAGATAATAATAATAATAACAAAGATAATAATAATAACAAAGATAATAATAATAATAATAACAAAGATAATAACAATACTACACACGCTATCCTTATATTTACTAATGATATCTTAATAATAGGTACTTCTACTTCTAATAACAAATACTATCTTTACAATGCCTTTAACTATAACCTTTTATCTTTATCTTATACTTCTAAATATATAACACTATCAATTCCTACAAAAAAAATAATTTTTAAATCTTTAAATTCTAATATGATATATAACACTTATAAAAGTATAATAACATTACCTGAATATGTAAAAGTAAAATATCTTAATAAATTATATGCTTATTTTCTTTATAATACTGTTAATTATAAGGAATTATATAATTATGTAAATAACGGGTATTTACTTGATATTGATTTAAAACTTGAAAAACTTACTTCTGTTGATGAAGTAATAACACTGTTAAAGGTTAACAGGGAAATACATAAGAAGATAAAGGGGTATGTTATAGAACACAGTAGTTATAATATAAAGGGTAGTGGTATAAAGGGTGATAGTGATATGGGGGTAGGGTTAGAGGGTGTTAGTGATAGAGGGTGGTAGTGATAGGGGGGTAGGGTTAGAGGGTGTTAGTGATAAGGGTGGTAGTAGAAAGGGTGTTAATAATAATAGGGTTAGAGGGTGTTAGTAATAAGTGGTATATAAGGGTGTTAGTAACAGTACTAGGGTTATAGGGTGTTAGTAACAGAGGGGTAGGGTTAGAGGGTGTTAGTAATAGAGGGGTAGGGGTAGAGGGTGTTAGTACTAGTGGTTATAAGGGTGTTAGTAACAGTACTAGTAGTTATAAGGGTGTTAGTAACAGTACTAGTGATTATAAGGGTGTTAGTAACAGTACTAGTGGTTATAAGGGTGTTAGTAACAGTACTAGTGGTTATAAGGGTGTTAACAGTACTAGTAGTATAAAGGGTGTTAGTAACAGTACTAGTGGTTATAGGGGTGTTAGTAACAGTACTAGTAGTATAAAAGGTGTTAACACACTAAATAGTCAACAACACCCTCTTAATAACACTACATATAAACAACACCCTGTTAATGCTTTTACTTGTAGTAGACTAGGGGTGTTAAATAGTAACTCACATTATAATATGTTATATTACTATCTAAATAATAGATTAAGAGGGGTTTTAGAGAAAGTAAATTCTATACAGAAGATAGAGGGTTATATAAAAGAACTTTTTAAAAAATATAAAATATTTTATTTTCAACAAAAAGAATTATTTAAAGAAATTGAAAATAGTGTGGAAGTTGATTGGATTGGATATAAATTAAATTTAGAAGTACAAATTGAGGTGTTAATTAGTATGTTTGTAGGTAGAATTAGTAATAGGAAGTGTTTAGAAATTTTTAAAGAATATTTTGTTTTTGATGGAAATGATTTTACACATTTGATGTATAATTTGTCTTGTAATAAGAAGGGTGGTAGTATTAGTAGGGATAAGGGTGTTATTAAGGAGTTAATAGTAGATATGTTAGGAGGGGAGTAAAGGGAGGGTGTTAGTTTGAGTGGTTTATAGGTTAATTATGGAGGGAGTATTAGGGAGGGTGTTAGTTTAAGTTAGATTATAAGTAGTGGGAGGGGGTGGGGGAGGGTTAAAGTAAGGAGGGGGAGGGGGGTGGAGTTAGTGGGTAGGGTTTAGTAAGTATAGGGGGGGGGGTTGTGTGTGTTAGGGGTGAGTAGGGGGGGGGTTAGTAGGGATAGTATTAGTAGGGATAAGGGTGTTATTAACAGGGTAGTATTAGAGGGTGTTATTATTTGTAAGGATAAGGATAAATGGGTGTTAAAGTAGTGTATTAGTAAATAATTAAAGGGGTGTTGGTAATAGTAATTATGCTAATAAGAAGGGTGATAGTATTGTATATGATTAAAGGGGTGCTAATCTAATATTTTTTTTGTTATTTTTAAAGGGGTGTTAATATAGTATATTCGTGTTTGTATTTAAAGGGGGTTTTATGGACAGTAATTCACAAGATTTTTAAAGGGGTGTTAATATAGTATATTCGTGTTTGTATTTAAAGGGGGTTTTATGGACAGTAATTCACAAGATTTTTAAAGGGGTGTTAATATAGTATATTCGTGTTTGTATTTAAAGGGGTTTTATTGGACAGTAATTCACAAAATTTTTAAAGGGGTGTTAATCTAGTATTTTATCAGTGTGTATTTAAAGGGGGTTTAATCGACAGTAATTCACAAGATTTTTAAAGGGGTGTTAAATTTTTTTTTTTTTTTTATTTTTTTTTTTTTTTTTTTAATGGTTAATTTATTTTTTTTTTTTTTTTATTTTAAGGTGTTAATCTAGTATATTCGTGTTTGTATTTAAAGGGGTTTTATTGATCATAAATTCACAAGATTTTTAAAGGGGTGTTAATCTAGTATTTTATCTGTGTGTATTTAAAGGGGTTTTATTGGTCATAAATTCACAAGATTTTTAAAGGGGTGTTAATCTAGTATTTTATTTGTACACATTTAAAGGGGTTTTAATGGACAGTAATTCACAGAATTTTTAAAGGGGTGTTAATTACCACTTACTCATAGTCTAATCCAATCGGTGTTAATTAAATATTATTAACCAAATATCTTCCATTTAATTACATAGAATGATATAACACTTAGTTTTTATATCTGATAATTAACACCTCTATAAATATATACATACTTAGTTACTTAACACCTCTTTAACTATTACATTAACATCAGAATATTGTACACCCCTTTAACTAATACACTTATATCATAATACTTAACACCCCTTTAACTATTACACTTATATCATAATATTAACACCCCTTTAACTATTACACTTATATCATAATATTAACACCCCTTTAACTATTACATTAACATCAGAATATTGTACACCCCTTTAACTAATACACTTATATGATATCTCTTAACACCCCTTTAACCCTCACCCTTATATCATAATATTAACACCCCTTTAACTATTACTCTTATATCATAATATTAACACCCCTTTAACTATTACCATTATATCATAATATTAACACCCCTTTAACCATCACCATTATATCATAATATTAACACTCCTTTAACCATCACCCTTATACCATATCTCTTAACACCCCTTTAACCATCACCATTATATCATAATACTTATTACCCCTTTAACCATCACCCTTATATCATAATACTTAACACCCCTTTAACTATTACTCTAATACCATAATACTTATCACCCCTTTAACCATCACCCTTATATCATAATACTTAACACCCACTTATCCCTCTCATCTTTCTCTCTCATCTTTCCCTCTCTTTTCCCCTCCTTTTTTTCTATTTAAATAAATTTAATTTCACCCCCCATCGAAGGGAAGTAAAATTCTTAAACATTTACTTCTAAACAAACCACACAGAGAAAAACCATTGAGTGTTTAATATTATTTGATGACCTGTTCTCTGTTACATTTTAACTTAAAATATTATATTTGTACTGTTATTGACTATTCTTCTTAATATATTAGAAGGTGATTCATGTATTTCTCTTCTCTGTCGTTATTATTAGAAAGTAATTCATTTATTTCTCTTCCTTGTCGTTATATATTAGTAATTAATTCATTTATTTCTCTTATTCTTAATATAAATAGAAAGTAACTATTTTATCTCTCTTCCTTGTCGTTATATATTAGTAATTAATTATGTTATTTCTCTTGTTCTCTTCTCTGTTGTTATATATAAGTAACTTATTCTAGTATTTCTCTCTTTCTCTTCTCTGTCTTTTATTTTCATATTTTATTTCTTACTTTTTACTTCTTTTCCAATTTAATACTTTATATTTCTCTTACTACTTCTTTTTACTTATACACCTCTCTTCTTTTTCTTATTTAATACCTTATATTTCTCTTACTACTTCCTTTTACTTATACACCTCTCTTCTTTTTCTTATTCAATACTTATATTTCTCTTACTTACTACAGAAAATAATAAAATTATTAAAAAAATGGTTTTACTGAGATTCGAACTCAGGTTTGCAGAGTCAGAGTCTGCCGTGCTAACCACTACACTATAAAACCTTAATTAGAAGTTTAAATTGAAATAAGAAATATATTAAATATTTAATATATCAGTTATTTTTTCTTTAATGGGTAGAAGAAAAAAAGTTGACAGCGAAAATATAAAAAATGAAGAAATAAAGGCTGTAAACAACTCGGAAATTAGTTTAAAAAAGACAAAAACGTGTGATAGAGATGTAGTGACTATATCCGAGACACTTCCACCACAACCGACCCTCCATAATAACACCCACCCCCCATCGAGCACTACGTTATATGTTACTCCAGTCAGCCTGATCGATTCCGTACCCCCTTCTTCCTGTCCCAATTCTTCTGCGTGTGGACCAGCCAACACAATGGAAAACCTCAATGCACCTGCCATTCCAGAAGGAAATCGACTGATGGTATTGCATTCAATACTTGACTTATCACAGCCGTAGAGCAGGAATGGCCTAGATCTGCTATGTGAGCAGTGCAAAAAAAGGTTTGAGAGAATGCCTAGAAATGTCTGGTCTGCAATTCTTAGGTACTATAATGGGAAATTTGGTCGAACTGTTGATATCGATATGTTAAAAAAATTAACACATAATGTGGCAGAAAGGGAAATAAGGCAAGAAAAGAATGGAGAGCGACGTAGAATCGCCACTTTTCTCGCCGAGCCATGTTCCTCAAGTGGCACCACACTCTATATGAAACTGAGAGAAAAGTTCTTGTATAAAATCAAGGAAATCTCTGAGAAGGAAATCGGAGATGTAGCGGTCCGAACTAAAAAACTTCCAAGTGAATTGGTTGATAGTAAAGTTTTGGAACTCATAAATCGGATCACAGGTGAATATGCTGAATCCCGTGTTCCTAAGAATGTTAGTGATGCAGCTCGAATCATCCAGGCGGCCCAGGTATGCTATGACGAGGAAACGCGTAAGGAGAAGTCTAGATCTGATTGGAAGGAAACATAGAAAGTTTAATTTCAAAGTTAGTACTTTCCAAAGACCTCCTAGAGAAGGCTCGTAAGCAGGAAAAGCTCTCTACTTCGGAAACGAAGAGCCTTAAGAAAATCATGCGAGAGTTTAATCTAGACTTAAGCAAAATAAATGATCTCTCTATGGCGTTGGTTAAGAAGAATGAGGCTTTGAATGTGTACGAGAAAAAAATTACGATGTATGAAAGTAGGAGGAAATTTCGAAAAGAGAATCTTATGTTTGAGTTATTCCGAGGTCGATTCTACCGAAGGCTATCTGAGCACGTTGAATCTGAGCATGTGGTTCATCGTGACAAAATTTCAGAATTTTGGTCTACAATGTGGAACAAAAATAATAAAGTAGTTACATATGATGAGTATTTGATACCTTTCGTGTCAGATACGCAACAGACCACGTTTCCTTCACCTGAAGAGTTTATAGATATCATCAATTGGCTGCCTAACTGGAAAGCCGCTGGAATTGATGGTATTTACAACTTTTACATCAAGAAACTTACCAGCCTTCATAAATATCTTTACGATATTGTGAAAGTCATATGTTTAGAAGGAACGCCTCAAGCCGATTGGTATTATTGTGGACTTAATTATCTGATACCTAAAGGTACACCAAAGACTGGCTCTGATTACAGGCCAATAACCTGTATATCAAACCTGTATAAACTGACTACAAAATGTGTTTCTAAAGTGGTTTAGGTTTAGGTGGAAAGACGAAAATTACTTTCAGATAATCAGTTGGGAGCGGTTAGAGGAGTGCAAGGAGCGAAAGAACAGGCCTTATTGAATGTTGCCATTAATAAGGAATACGGAAACAATCTTAAGGCAACATGGATTAATGTCAAAAAAGCTTATGATTCAATAGATCATGCTTATTTGAGTCAATGTATTGAAACCTTGATTTACCTGATTGGATTCTGTTATTTATTAAGGTAATTATATCAAAATGGAAAATTGATATATCAATAAGGCCTGAAAAAATCATGAGCAAGAAGATTGATAGAGGGATTCTGCAAAGAGATAGTCTGTCACCGTTGTTGTTTGTATTGTGTATGGATCCATTGAGCCGAAAGCTTAATGAGAAATACACAAAGGTGATAATACAAACAGATGCAGAATCCCACGCAACTAATCATCTCTTGTTTATTGATGATCTTAAGCTCCTTGCCGAAGATGGACAAACATTGGAAGAAATGACGGAGGAGGTTAAAAAGTTTATGAATAATATAGGATTGGAAATTAACAAAGAGAAGTCAGCCACTAATGATCCATGTTGTGAAGATACTGCTACTCTTCTTGAAGGAATAGGTGTTTATAAATACCTTGGAATTATAGAAGATAGCAGAGGAATTCCAACAAGTAAGTCTTTTGAGGAAGTACAGACTAAAATTATAGCACGAGTAGAAAGACTTTGCCGCACGAGATTAAATGCAAGAAATTGATTTCAAGCCATTAATCAACATGCAATTTCTTTACTAAACTATCATATAGGTGTACTCCGACTTGAACCGGCTGACTTCTCTAAGTTAGATGATGCGGTGCGTGCAGTGTTAGTAAAGAACAAAATACATCTACGCCCAGGATGCAAAGAACGTCTATACCTTCCACGTAAAGAACTTGGAAGAGGTTTACATAGTGTCGAGTTCAAAAGCGAACATATGCTTTTGCAACTCTTGGATTGTCTGGAAAAACATAAAGATACATCGACCAGAAGAGCAGCAATCCTAAAGGTTGAGAATAATAATAAAACCCACCTTTCACTAATTAAAAACTTTTTAAAAATAAAATACGGGTTGGAAGAGGAAGTCACAAAAAAGAAATTGGAAGAAGCTCAACTAGCTAACCCATATAACGAAATCAAAAACCGAAAACTACATTCAAAGTTATATAGCGCTAGAAATAACGAGCTGGTAAGTGTAAATGACTCCTCAAGATGGTTAAAGAATGGAAGTGTAAGACCACGTGATGAAGCAGTGTTCTGTTATATCTAGGATAGAAATGTTTTCTGGGGTGCAGAAGGTATGTGTCAACACTGCAACCAGTCTAGGAAAACTGTTGATCACTTAGCAACGAGATGTGAAAAAATGCTTGGTCATGACTATACTAGACGACATAAAGAAGTGTACGATGTATACATTTACTCTTGCTGAATAAATATAAGTTTAAGTCTTCGAAACGAATTAGAAGCCACTCAGTTCAAGAAATTCTTGATAACGAATATGCAGAGATAAGAGTGGACACCAGAATAAAAATTGATGTCAAGATTCGGTGTAACAGCCCAGATATATTTATTTTAGACAAGAGACAGAATAGGATAACCCTCATCGAAGTAGGAATCACATCCCAAGACTCTCTTCAAATAGTTGAAACAGAGAAGCTTAGGAAGTATGACCTATTAGAAAATGAGTTAGGTCTTATTTATAAATGCAATGTAGAGATAATTCCTTATGTAATGACCTGGGACGGTATTGTGACAAAATACCATAAGACTTAGGTTTAAAAGATCGGAAATACCCATGAATGTAGAGGTATACATTCAGTCTATAGTACACAAGAAGACATTCGAAACAATTTCTTTTGATCGACGAAGAGGACTTGAGTCTGAACCAAATGCCGAAGAGAGCTGGGAGAGAGCATCATTAAGTGTTATTTTAGGAGCTGAGATGCATAAACAACCAATACCCCCTTTAAAGCAAGTAGACAATGAGGAAGATGATGTTAAAATCAAAAAATACAAAACATATTTTACCCCTTATTTTGCATGACATAACCACAGCAAAGGAACCATCAACTAATACAAATGAAGAGTTGGAGTTGGAGGAAGAAATAGAAGTGGTTGAAATGGTGGAAAGAATTATTTTAAAGAGAAAAATTTGTAAACCCAGAATTTTATTAAATAAAAATATATCAGTTATAAAAGAACACTAATTATTAAGAGAAATAATAAACAATAAGAACACTAATACTTTTACGAACTCTAAAACAATAAGAACTTTAAACAATAAGAACACTAATAGTTTTAAGAACTCTATTACTTTAAGAACTCTAATACTTTTAAGAACTCTAATACTTTTAAGAACTCTAATACTTTTAAGAATTATAAAATATATTATTCTAACCCTTGTATGGGTGTGATTGTAGATTCTAAAGAGTCTCATATTAGTGGACCACTTTCTATGTTAGCAGATAGTGTATTAAAGGGGGAATGGGTATTGGTAAATTTACGTAACAATAGTAAATTATTAGGAAGGGTTAAGATGTATGACCAACACTTTAATATGGTAATGAGTGATATAACAGAAATAACGTATTTGAAAGGGAAGAAGAGGGGGAAGAAGAAGAGGGAGGGGAAGGTTGTGGAGAGGAAATATAAAAATATATTTTTAAGAGGAGACAATGTAATTTTGGTAGGAAAGGTAGAGAAAGAGAAATGAAAAGAAATAAAAAAAAGAGAAATAAAATATTGAGAAATAGAAATATTGGGAAATAAAAATAAAAAAATGAGAAATAATGAGAAATAAAAATATTGGGAAATAAAAATAGAAATAATGAGAAATAAAATATAATAAAACAATGAGAAATAAAATAGAAATAAAATTTAATAAAATGAAATAAAATAAAGTAGAAATAATGAGAAATAATATTTGTAAGAAGAGGTAATGTTAGTTGTTGGGAAGGAAAAAAAATAAAAATAAAAACATAAATTTTAGATTCAATTTCTATTTATTGGGAAATTTAGATAAAATTTAATATTTGTGTTTAAATTTAACTTAAATTTTATTATTTTGTTATTTACTTATTTACTTATTTACTTATTTTCTTATTTTCTTATTTACTTATTTACTTATTTACTTATTTTCTTATTTTTTATATTTTGGTTTACGGTTTAAATTTTAATGAATAAATTATTTAACGAAAATTTAAATACATTTAATATATTAAGATTTATTGATGGTTTGTAATTTATATGAAGATGAAGGGTAAAAAAGATGGTTTTTATGATTTCTTTATAAATAAAAATTTATATTTTATGCTGTGGGGGTAGGAT